AAAAACTTCTTATTTGCAATAGGAATTAGACATAAGCAACTTTCAAGACTTTATCACAAACTAGTAGTAGTCTCCTTTCATCCGGCACCACTTTCATATGAAGTATAACCTAGCTTGACTGGCTTCGTATCGTGGTAAGCACGTCGCAGTCCCATAAGAAAAACACGCATGCTCACGGCTTATTTTGATCACGTGGCGTGTCACCTGACCGGAACGAGCAAAAGAGGAAATGTAGACAGAAAAGTAACACTTTAACGCCTTCATAACGTAAATAATAATGCGTTGTTTCAGTTACCGAGTAGCTCATTTAATAAGTTTGTGTTTTGTCTGCGTGTATCTGTTCAGTAAGTACAGCTTTACTGCGCAGCTTCATTCAGAGATTATAATCTAAACAGAGCTCCGTGTGTCTGATCTCGGCTTGTTTTTAATGCAGTTAACTATGGATCCGCCGGTAAAATGAAGATAGTCGAAGAGCCAAACACATTTGGGTACGTGAAGCAAAATAAGTTCACATTGTGCAGTTTTGTTGACTTTGGTCTGCTGCTAATGGATCTACTTTGTGTCCAGGCTGAACAACCCTTTTGTGGCTCAGGGCAGCAGACTGCAACCTAAAGTGACCCCAGCTCCAGTATCTGGTAAAACAAACTCATCATTTAAATATTTAAACCGGGGGTGTCAGACATAAAGAGGAAAGGAGGCGTAGATTTCTGACTTATAAGTGTATTTCAGGACTTTTCCTCCATTCATACCATAGCAAAACCTTTGTCTTATAGTTGTAGTACACTCAAGGCGATGGACTACCAGAACTGTTTTCTGGCATTTCTGGCATTTATTGCTCACAATTTAAGTCCAAAGAGTAACGCTGACAGACTTTTGTTTGCTACAGCAGCATTTCTTTATCTTTGCACTTCTTTTTTCTTATATTGTGACATTTTAGGGATTAAATGTTTTATTAGATTTCTTTACACTGACAAAAGGGGAGTTTCACTGCTTCAGCCCACTTAAGGTTAATCCCTGATTTAAAGCCTCAATTCATTAAATTATATGTAAAATGTTCTAAATGTTGACTAAAGGGTCCTTTAGATGTTCTGTCTCATCAAAGCAATGATTTCCTCCTTAAGGCCCAGTGCACCTTCATCAGCTTGCTGGAAAGTGCTTCAGTCTCACGGAGTCGACGTATGTATTTAACCTGTCATACAGTAGTATATTCCACCATCTCTCCACAGTGCAGACCATTAGATTATTACATGTTGGATCTGAGCGGCTGGAAAATACAAAACAAACAATAGCATGTTGTCCTCACTTTGCAGGTATAAATATGAATTCTGTCCATTTCACAACGTCACTCAGCATGAGCAAACATTTAGGTGGAATGCCTACAGTGGGATCTTGGGGTAAGAAGCTCCAGAAACAAAACACAAACCAGATGTAAATGTGTGAAGCAGGCTGTTGGCTTCTTGTGGGAGTCAGGTTTGTGTTTGGTCCCTGCAGGATCTGGCAAGAGTGGGAAATGGCAAACAACACTTTCACCGGCATGTGGATGAGAGACGGCGACACTTGTGGAAACAGAAACAGAGAAACAAAGGTATCTAAACCTTTAAAATCCTCCTGGTAATCCACTGACAAGATTTTGTGCCCCATCTTGAATATAAGGCCAACACTTTGCAATGCTAATTATTGCTTGAATGTATTGTGCATGTAAACATAACAACTAGTGCCAAACCGAGTCAGAGACAACTGGCAAATCATCCCATCAGCCCTTAAAGTTATGCTTTTCCTTGTTTTCTGCCATATACTCACTTGCTGTTCAGACCTGCCTTTTATGGGGGTCAATCAATTGGAACAAAAGTGGCTTAGAGTGAGTGGGGGAAGGGAGCTGTTTCAGTCAGTGGAGATCTCGACTAGAGTCTAAGAATAAATATGTGGAACTGGGAATTACTTTCTTACTCAGCAACATGAATAAGAAATTGTGTTTTCTTTCTTTCTTGTCATGGATCTGCAGGTGATTCTGGTCTGCAGCACAAGAAGCAAGCTCGCTCAAGTCTCAGAGCCCAGTACCTGTGTGTACTCGCTAACCTTTGAGACCCCCCTTGTTTGCCATCCACATTCTCTTTTAGGTAAGTTAAGCAGGACTTACTTTCATGCCAATGGGGATAGGGTTACTTATAAATTCTGTGCTCTTTTAAAGTGTATCCAACTCTGAAAGAGGAGCTACAGAAGGAATGGGATGAAGCGGAGCAGGCTCGCTATGAAGGACTTATAACTGAACAGGTGAGGGCCAGTTTGGTAGGTAAACAAATACTGCAGTATGACTTGCTTCCTCTATGCTTTTCATCTATGTCAGTTTATGCCACCTGTGAGATGATGAAATGTAGATGCAGAAAATATAGTGGATATAAACGATAGACTTAGTGAAGCTAAAATTCAAGCGCTTTAAAGCTGCATTCTTTTTAATGGCCACCAGGGGGCGAGTCACCTGTTTGCAAAAAGACGTCCAGTTGTACAGACGTCTAGGAGAAAATAAGTCTACTGCTCACTTGATTTACATTATCAGTAAACACCTTCCAGATTGGTTCATCTTCTCAGCTGCTTAACACATGCTGTACTCAAATTTTGTTGAATACAGTATCTGTTAGCATGTCTATTAAAGTGAAAAATGAGCATAAAACAGTATACTTGTGATTCACAAGTGCACCCATATTATCATGCAGCGTCCTTCAGTTTCCTCATTCATCACATGAGTTTTCAAAACGTCAAAAATATGACAACACCAAAAAAGGTCTGTTTACAGCTTTGTGTCCATCTTTTATGTACAGTTATTGTAGCTGAAAATCAGACACCTCTGATTGAGCTCTGTTATGGTACACACATTTCAAGGTGTCCTTTGTTATGTACATTTTAATTATTCGTGGAATGGTTATGTTTACATTTTGTACATGTGCTCCAGGGATACAACAATCTCTTAAAGGGTATTTTTGAGGACGCCGGACTGCTGAAGAGTCGGAAAGTAAAAGTCAAGGTTCAAGAGGCAGCAGCTGATTCAGAAAGTCAAAACTCTTTAGAGAAATGTAAAGCGGTGTGTAACCTTTCAAAGTAGTATCTCTTCTAACATTACAACAAAATCACAATACAAGCTCAATAGTGGGTTTTTTTGTTTTTTTTTTTGTATATTTTTTCTACAGGACTACCAAAAACTGAGAGAAGAGACTGAGAGATTGCGAGCTCTTCTTACTCAACATAACATTCCTTTTACTTCTGAGACAAGTGAGTGAAGTCAGTCTTCACTCATTTAAGTCTCGTACAGTTTATATGAATGATTTTTTCCCCCTATATGTGACAGATGACGCAAAAGGTACAGTGAGCGTGACGGTTAAGGATCAACACTTAAGAGGAGACAACGGACTCATTGATGTTCAGTGAAGATTACCTGGAGCAAAAACGAGCCAAAGCACCTGAGCGGAGTTTGTTGATCAGCATCAGAGAGATGCATAAAGTAACCGGACAACACTGGTAGTGCTCAGGCTGTTGGTACTGCAGAATAAAACTTTGCAAGCGTAGCTGAGAGTGGGTAATTTTTTTTTTATGTATTTTTTTTGTCGAGGATTCTTCACTGAGCTGGAACTCTCCAAGACTATGAAAAGACACCATCGTGCATGAAAAATAAAATGAGCTTTGAAAATGTTTACAGCTGTCTCATCTTAAGTTTCAATTCATCAGTAAGTTTATTTAGTTTTTTGTTGTTGTTGCAAAACGACTTGGTGTAGACTTGCACCACATTTCTCTTTTCTCTACATTTTCAAGTATTGACAAGTAGATGTCTTATTATTAACTTATTTTCAGTCCAGTTTTGTTTGTCTGTTAAGCCTAAAACAATAAATCGACAGCAGAACGTCATGTCCGTAAGACATGAGGGGAAAATATCCAGCCAACCTGACATAGAATCTAAGAAGCGCCTACTGTTCACTGAAGCCTCAACAGAAATGGACAAAGGGAGAAGGGTGGCTGTCAGACAGCTACTCTTCAAAAAGCCAGTCTGGAGAACTATTCCTGAACACCACTTGAAGACATGACAAGAAAGCAGACTTCAAGAGTTCAGACTGTGTTGAAGAGTAAAGGTGGTCACACAAAATATTGATTTTCAAGCTCAGAGTTTGTTTTTGCCTTTTACCCTGCATTTCCATGTTTGCATATTTCAATATCCTGACAAGATATAATAAAATGAGGAGTAAATTTTTTTTTGTTCATACATATGCAAGTAACCGAAAAAACATCGTCCATATATACAAAGTGGCTGAAAAGCATTTATGTCTTTGTGTTGTATTTGGGTGCATTTGTATAGGAAATGAAGTCATCACAGCTAGGCTAGATATTGACTTTGTTTCCTTCCTCTGTGTTTGTGTCCTATATTAAGACTCAAACACATGTTCCTGTCATACTGCACTCAAAGAAGTAACAGCCGGTCATTTCCGACTTCACTTTTGCCCGATTGAGATACGCACAACACAGCTATATTAATAGTCTGTGAAAGATGCGGGTAAAATGAATCACCCGCACGCTTACTGAGTTAGTCACAAAAACCAGATGATAAGCAAATATAAAATGTATGTAGAGAACATAACCCAGTGGTCTGGTATGTGTTTGCTACTGTGATTACAAGGAGAGTGCAAAAGTAAAGTCATTCAGTTCAGTGGCTTCACTGATTATGGGCCTTGACGTGCACAAACATGTCTTAGCTACTAACATTCCTGAGATGTTACTCAAAAGGTCTTCCAGCTATCTGTTTGACTTTGAGGGATTCACATCTCTCCGAAGTGATCTGCCCATACTGGCAAAGTTGAACAGTAACCTCTGAGTTACTTGCTGGAGTTGAAAAAAGGATTTACAAACAGCTTCTGTACATTTGAATAAAACATTAATCTGCCTTCATATTGTATGACATGGCTTTCCTGACTGATAACTACCAACCAACATAACACACAAGTAATGTAAAGAAACAGAGGTGATAAAGTAACACTTTTAATTATTAAAACAGGTGAATAATACTGGCAACACAAACAGGGACCGTTACATTTAAAACCTCTTTAGCCCAAGCCTTAGATCAGGCCGATCCTTCAGTCCTGTGAACAAAGTCTTTTTGCGAGTTTCTCTGTAATATTTGTGGCTCAGGATAATAGCTGGATAACTTCTCTGGCTCTGTGTGCCCTCTGCTGGACGACTGTATCTTCTGGTGCTTTTCCAGATTCCTCCACCAGGGATAAGGCCTTCTGCACAGTTGTGTCCTTCCCACTTCCACGAAGCCCTTCCAGGTACTGAAGCAGCACCGAAAACGTGTCGTCTGGAATCTGAGAAGAACCTACTTTAATCTTGCTGATTCTCTGTATACATATTATAGAGACTCTTGGCTACAGGGTGACAAATCATTACGATATTAGTGACACTAATGCGGAGCATCTCCTGTCAGTGTTCTCTTCAGACAGATTCAAAAATGAGGGTGGTGCAAGGATAACATGAATTACATGAAAATGTTTGTAAACATTTCAACTTCTTATAGCTTTACCATTTTTACTTATTCTCTTCTGCTTAAAAATGACAAATAGTTTTGGATTGAGAATAGAGATTAAGTGTTATTTAATAACAGAAAGAGGAAGAAAGAGCTTAGCGGTTGACCAGTCTAAAGCAAAGCTGAGAAAACCCCCTGTCACCCCCATCATTCAGGAGGAATGTTGGGTAATTTTACCTTTTCAGAATCAAAGAGGTGCTGCAGTAACCACGTCTGCCTCGTCTTCTGGAACTTCCACTGTAAACGGTTTTCAGCCCAGCTGCAAAGACAAAAACCGCTGTGGGCTGCAGGGTAACTATTGCAGAAAGTACATACTTCCACCCCCATGATTCACAACAACAACACCTTATCAAATGCTAGAATTATGAATCATTTCTGAGAAAGTCTTCCCGTGTATGTTATGTTAAGAGAATCCAGTGATCGACTATTTATCTGCTGTGCTGGAAAGATTTGGGTTCGGTTCAAATTTCATCTCATGGATCAAGTACATATATTTGACTCCTGTTGCTTCAGTTTGTACTAATAGCCAGAAATCGAAACCATGTCCACACGAGAGGGTTGCACCCTTAGCCCGTTAGTATTCGATCTAGCTATTGTCATGTCTCTGGTTATAAATTAAATATGTCCAATAGTGAACTTTGTCTGTTAAATGAAGAAGTGTTTTAAATAGATTTGTCTGGTTTCCCTTTTAAAGTGGTCAAAGAGCAGTTTACCTATTTTTGTATTACAATTACAAGAAAGTATAAACAACTTCTCAAAGCCAACTTTTTTACGCTATTGAAGAATGTCAAACAAAGCCTTCAACAGTGGTCACCCCCTGAACACAACTCTAGTCGGTCGAATTAATTCGATTATAAAATGAATATTCCTCCTAAGTTTTTATACTTATTTCAATCTTTACCAGTCTTTATCCCTAAGTCCATCTTTACAAACCTCAATTATATAATTTCCTCCAACCTTTGGAAGGGTAAACGACCTCGAGTAGTTAAGGTGCATTTACAGAAACCTAACCTTGAAAGGGGTCTGGTACTCCCCAACTTTCGCTTTTGCTATTGGACTGCCAATATTTGCTCCCTGGCCTACTAGTTAAAATCATGGCCAGCCAAGCGGGCCCTACCACTTGGCTGGCAATGGAGTTAGAATCAACTCAGGGTATTTCTCTTGTCTCCTTTCTCAGTTCTTCTCTCCCTTTATCCATTGACAACTTCAATGGACAATGGACTTCACATATAATCCCTCAGGGTGTGGGCTCAGTTCAGGAGACATTTAAATCTTAAAAATGTCTCACTTCAAAGCCCCATCTTATCAAATCACCTATTCCTTCCTCCCATTTTGGACAATTTGTTTCAGGTATGGTTTCGAGCAGGTATTATTTACTTTAAAGATCTCTTTATACACAATAGCTGTCAGCAAAATACACTCTTCCCAAAACTCACTTTTTTAGATATTTACAACTCAGGCATTTTTTGCAATCCCACCTCTCAAATTTCCCAGAGGCTCCAGCTGCTAACTTACTGGACGAGCTCCTTAGTTTGCAACTCTCAGGCAAAGGTATAATCTCTCACATCTATAACAAACTGTGCAGTGTAACTTCAGCTCCCTTTGAAGGCATCAAACACACATGGGAGAAGGATTTAGGTATATCTATGTCAGATGACGTTTGGGATTCAGTCCTCTGGTAAATTCCACATCACTCTGTGCACGCCCCTCCCTATTACAATTCAAAGTAGTTCATAGGGCCCACTTATCTAAATCCAGATGAGTTTTCTGCACCGTGAACAAGGCTGCCGGCCTGAAACTGGCTCTCAACCCCCTACTTGCTCTCTTTGGTACAGTGGGTAAGGATGATAAGTATATCACCGGGGCAAAACATCAGGTGCTGTCCTTTGGTTCCCTCCTGGCTAGACGTGCCATTTTGACGAGGTGGAAGGCTGCTGCCCCGCCCACCCATGTTCAGCGGCTTGCTGATCTCATGTCGTGTCTCAGTCTTGAAAAGATCCACTGCTCCAGCCAGAATAAAAACTTCTCTAACCTTCAATTTAAGGATCTTCCTGCTGACTATCACATTTGCTTATTCCATAGAGGTCAGACGACCTACCATTCTGTATGTTTTACTGTGTTAATGGGAACGTGAAGCTCAGTTGTGTTGCAGCTAACTTCTGTGTGGTTTGCAAGGAAAGGTTTTGTTGGTATCAATCGCCCCTCTTTTTTGTTAACTGTATTCATAATTGTTCAATAAAAATATTTGGAGTAAAAAAGAGGATCCAGTGATCTAGTGGTGAGCTTTTACAACATAATAAAAAAAGAATAATTATACGATATCCTGGGTTTTAATTCATAAATCAGCTGCTACACATCCCATAATGCATTTTGATTGCATCCTGGTAATCCTCTGGACCCTATTCTTACCACGTGAGGTAGTCTAAGGCCTGCTGTTGTGCACTGGGTCCAGATGGTTTTGTTTGCTCCAAAGTCACTCCCTCCGCTTTGAGCCTTTTCTTCTCCTCCTTTTTCCGAATCTTCTTCAGCTTCCTCTCCAGGACCCTCTTCTCCTCGGGACTCAAGTCCTCGAGCCCCTCTGCCTCAGCTGTCCCCTCAGGACAGCTGGGTGGATCAAGAACCTGTCACAACAAAGCAAAGCAAACACACAAATAAGTTGCAGCGAAGAGGAAATCATTTGATCACAAACTGCTCCTTATGCACATGCCAATTTTAACTCCGCTAAATGCAAACTAAATGTGACATTTTACTGTGCTTTTGCAGACAGATGAGTCAAAAGTCAAAAGCAGTTTTCAGGTTTAGATCACTTCCTCTTGCTCTGCAGCTCTGGGCAACGTTTCCTGTGCATACAGTATTACGAGTTCACCATAGCACGCTTTTTTGTGCAGTACCCAGACAGTTTCAGCAGTGCGTTCGCAGAGCACACACCCCTGTACATGCACTTAGATGGTTTATGAAAAAGAAAAAGACAATGAAACAATTCAGCTTCACAGAACTGCTGAAGAAGTTTTTAAATAATAATAATTTGAAAAACATTTCCTTGCTATAGGATGTAAACACAGCACAACTTAAAGACTTTTATGCCAGAGGAAGTTGAACAAGGGACACACTATGCTCTCCGATTTAGCCGACCTCTGGTGGTGATGAAAAGAAGAAAAAAAAAAAGGGAGGGGAAGAAGAGATTTTGGTCACATGGCCAAAAAGTCATTCTGAAAGTATGCTGCCTGGGCATTGCCCACAGAAATAGAAAACCCTTTTGTATGGTGAGCACTTGTGTCCATGCGAACAGCATCGTTTTCGGAGCTTTGACTCAGGCGGTAGCAGCGTCGGGCCGGTGGATACAAAACAGACGAGCGGGTGACGGAAGCAAAAATGGTAAGTGGAAACATGTGTTTCTACTGAACGGGCAGGTCCTCAAAGGGAAGCAAACAAAGACTCAGAGAAAATACTCACAGAAAACAAAACTACATCTTTTTACTTGATACGTCTTCATATTCGGTGTATTTTTAAAGTTCTTTGCATACAGTTAAGATTTTAGCTCAACTTTGAGTTAATTTAGGAAGGATCTGTGTGTTGTAATTTCTGTGTTCCTGTGGAAAGTCTTCATAGTGATTCATGCACGTATATTCAAGTGTTTTCAAATCACTGGACTTCTGTTTCTGATTCTCATCAGTGGCTGTTTTTTGCTTTGATTTTCAGTCTGATTACAGCACCACGCCGACGAGCCCCACATCTCAATTTTCCATCTCTTCTGCCAGCACACAGGGCAGCGTCAACATCACAGAGAGCAGCGTCAACATCACGAAAAACTCTGATTTAAGCGAGATTGCAGCCAATGACTTAATCAGCAATGCAAACTACGTCTACAGTTTGCTTGCTACCTTCGGTCTCTTAGCAGGCTGCTTCCTGCTTTACAGTTTCATTCAGACTTATCGCGCCCACAAGAGGCTGGCCTGGCTCGGCTGCCTCCTCTGGGTGTTTTGTGGCTTCCAGCTGCTGCTCCTGCTCCTCTCTTTGCACACTGTGGCCCACAGACCTGACTACCTAAACACCACAGCTTTAGGCTGTGCCGCACTCTCCTTTACCATCAACATAGCCTCTCTGTGTGGCCTGCTGGTCTTAGTGCTCATGGCATCCGTCGTCACCTTTGATCCTCCATCCAATCACCTGCTGAGAAAGTCTCGTGTCTGTGCGGCACTAGTGGGCATCACTTCTGTACTCATTTCTCTGGTGCTGGCTGGCATTCGTGGACCCAGAGGAGATTTGCAGAAAGAGGGCAACTGTTTGATGGATCCCACCACAGATGGTGTTTCATACGCAGTTGCTAGGCTGTGTTTGGTCTTCCTGATTCCCTACATCCTCCAACTGGGACTCCTGATAGGTGGCTGCGTCCGCCAGAGGGAGTCGAATGGACGCTTCCTCTCCGGCTCTGAGGAAGGCCCTGTGTTCCTGGCGGTCACCGGTTTTACGCTCATCTGCCAGCTCTTCTACAGCGTGGCGCTGCTTAGAGGGGCTCTGATTAATAGTGAAAGACAGCTGACGTTCCACCAGAAAGCATTTTTGAGTGTGTCTGAATTTGTGCTGTTCTCAGGGAGCAGCGTGAGCCTGCTGCTCGTCCTGTTCATGCACAGGCCGTGTCGGGAAAGCCTCTATGGAGTGATCAGGCGGCTGCGGGACTGCTGCCGACGTCCAGGGCCACAGCCCAACAGGAACATCATAGCTCCGCACATTGAGATCACAGACACTCTGGAGGACATCGAGTCTTAAGAAATGTGTCTGTTTGCTAGGAGAGAGCTCTTCCCATGCATCATATTTAATGTCTTACCTGTTATGGACCACCTCACTATCTATCCAGTCACTGAAAGCTTGCAGAACTCTCATTAAATGTATTTTTTTTTTAACATTTCATTTACAAAATGTACAAAAAGAGGAGAAAAAAAATGCTTTATATCTTGTTACTGTGCATCATCTTGCCATGTTATGTCAATTCAAAGGATTTATTTCTTTAATCAGGGAATTAAAAAGGAGCTATTAGTACATGAGATTCTGTATGAATTTTTAACCTGTTCCCGGGAAAATGTCTTTTCTTGGAAACTCTGTTTGCATAAGCCTGATTTACACAAAAGTCCATTAAGACAAATGCTTGGAAAAACCTCTGCAGCTCCCTGAATGCCACATAGGAAAAATTAAGTCTAGGAAAACCAAAGTCAGAGTCTATATTTATGCCAACAGCTTGAAAAAAAAAGTGTTACTGAATCAGATGAACACTTTTCAAGAAATTCATGGGCACCAGTTCTAGGAATAAGTGATCTGCGTGGATAACGTTTTGCATCGGTGGCAACACGGAGCGACACAAACCCAGGAACCAGGAAAGTGAATGCAGGAGCAGAGCTGCATAAGAAGCTGGTCTTAACTTAACTGTCACAGTAGTGATTGCTGAAATCGGGGCTCTTATGAATGCTACTTCCAGTTTTAAAATCATCACATATAAAGTGATAAAAGATTCAGACACCACCCTACAAACCAGAACCAAGCGCACAGTTTGTGTTCCTGCGCAAACCGTCTTTCTGGGGCTTTCAAGTAATGTGAAACCAGGAGAGACTAAGTGAAATTATGCATGTCTGCATGTCCACCTTGTTTAGTCTAAATGTGCTGTCCAGAGACAGATCGACTCCCATATTTACATATTTTAACATTACACAATCATGACCGTGTTTGTGTGCTTTCATGCCAGTGTTGACAAGACGACCTCATGTCTCAAATTGATATAATCATATAAGCAATAAAATTATACCCACACACTGATAGAAAAAGGGATGATCAAATTGCCAAGTGACAGTACTGCCAATAAAAAGTAGTAAAGGTTTAATTTTAAAAACACTTTGGCTCAAAAGCTGCGATATGAAGACGCGCCTGCATTGTGTTTGTGTTTCTTGTTGCAAGTGGTGGGTGGCTGTAAACATTTCTCCGAATTCATACTGAAACCACTTTTTACTGTCAGCGTTAACGGAGAGGGAGGACAATACGCGCAGACCGAGAAATCACAGGTGAGTCCAAGCTCTTTTATATGACGCCTTAATTTGTTTATCACCAGTTTAGCTTTCCTTATAGTTTCCAAGTATCTCCTCAGCATGTTATGGCTTACCTGTTTGATATTAAACGCTTTGAACTAACATACAACAAATCCTACAGCCTGGAGGTGCTTCTGGTTGGGAGTTTAAATTTCTAAACGCTCATAAGCATCTTTAAGATCTGATAAGTTTGATGAAGGATCTCGGAAAGTATTCTTTTTGACTGTATGACTATATTCAAAGCGGCTGCACTTCAAACAGATACACATCCACTTAAAAGTCGCATCACTAATGAATTTTTATGGGATATCTCTTCAAGGGTACGGTCAACTAGACAGTATGACTGCTCGTTTCAGCTCTGCTAACATGACAAGTTAGCTTTGCTCATCTTACATGAGGCAACATAATGTGTCACTGCAGTACCTCTGCTTCTGTTTCCATTAAAAACTAATCAGTGATTAATAGTTTAATTAATCATTCTTTGTCATTTGTTAAAGGTGAGAAAATTCTGTGATGCTCCCAACGTTTGGGCAATAACTAGAGCTGAAGTAAAACACAGTGAACTATCACATAGTTTTGTAATTTGTCACATTATAATGATGATTCAGGCGGCTGCTATCTAGACAGCACGACCTGCGCGCCACAGCGAGCAGCAATCTGTGTCACCTCTTAGAAGCAAGCCAGTGACAGCCAGTCACATTTCACTCAGTTTTATTTGGTTCAGTTCAATACAGCAATCCTCTCAGTGTAACTTCCTTTTGAGCAAACCCTTGGCAACAGTGGAGAGAAAAAACTGCATTGGAAAAAACTGGGAATTAATGTATTTATTGATGTTGTGTACAGAATTATTACCTCCTGGACGTCTACTTTTCGGCACCCAGTCCCCAGCCGGTTGTGGCAGATGGCTGCCCCTCCTTTAGCCTTGAGGCTTCTTCCTGTTAAAAGGAAGTTTTTCCTTCTCCCTGTTCCCAAGGGCTTGCTCACACGGGTCGTCTGATTGTTGGGGTTTGCTCTCTAACATCGTAGAGTCTGTATCTTACAATATAAAGCCCCTTGAGCTGACTGTTCTTTGATTTTATGCAATATAAATGCAACTGTATTGATGTGAATTGAAATTAATTGATGTTTTAAGAAAGTGAAACAGGCTGTTGACTTCAATTTCGCTTCTTCTTTCTGTCTAGGGGAAACAGTGGCATCAGCACCTCGCTCTATCCAAAAGCTACCGCGCACACAAAGAGGGAACTGATGGTACCGCAGGCTCCTCAGCAACTACTTAGTCTTCAAAAATCTAGGAACTATGGCAACCTAGTGTTTGGATGCTGCTAACAGCAGCTAAAGACAAAAGGGGAACATGAACATGACCATGCATGTGGACTGCAAAGTCATTGCTGACAATAACTTCAGTGCACATCCAAATGACACACAGGCAGTCATCTCCGACTGTCCGGAGGCAGCTTCGGATAATTATTATTTTATCAGCCTCATCCTCTCCAGCCTCTACACCATATTCCTGTTTCCTGTCGGTCTTGTTGGGAATATCCTTATTATAGTGGTCAACCTTAACCACAGGGGCCGCATGACACCTCCAGATCGCTACTTTGTGAATTTGGCCATGGCTGACCTCTTTCTGGTAGCTGACTCTCTGATTGAAGTGTTCAATCTTAAGAAGGGCTACTACGACAAGGCCGGCCTCTGCACTTTCATGAACCTCTTCCAACAGGCCAACATGTACAGCAGCGTCTTCTTTCTGACCTGGATGAGCCTCGACCGCTTCGTCGCGCTGACCAACTCCATGGGTCGCAGCATACCACACGCACGGCTCAGCTGCTGCCTCATCTGGACGTCTTCGTCCCTGCTCACCTTGCTGCCTTTCGCTGTAGCTCAAGTGCAACACGCCGGAGAGCTCCATTTCTGCTTCGCCAACGTGACTCAGATTCAGTGGCTGGAGGTGATGCTGGGATTCTTGCTGCCCTTCTGCATCCTGGGGGTGTGCTACTGGAGAATAGCACGGGTGCTCAAGTGCAGCCACTGGGAACTAAGCAGCCCCGTGCAGAGGCCTCGCAGGCAGAAAGCCCTGCGACTCATCTCAGCTGCTGTGGTCGTCTTCTTCCTCTGCTGGCTGCCAGAGAACATGTTTATAAGTGTGCACCTCGTGAGGGGCGACACGAACGGGGGCACACTGTGGCAGGATTACCCCTTGACGGGTCACGCTGTCAGGCTGGCGGCTTTCTCCAACAGCTGCCTGAATCCTCTCATCTACGGCTTCCTCGGGGAGGCCTTTAGGGAAAAGCTGAGGCTTTTTTTCCAGGATAAAAGCCGATGGTCCAAGCTGAACAGGACCCCCTCGAGAAAACCCATCAACGAACCAGCAGCAAAGGACGACAGTATGAGCAACTCATCACATCCAAACTGTGACATCCCCCTGCCAACTGAATACCCTCCTTGAATAAACTGTATATACATGTTTTCACCAAAACACATGAAAAACATCTGTGCTGTGGGGTAAAAGAGCCATTCAGTGCTAACTATCAAAGCAAGGATCCTAATTTCTGTACAGATCTGACTGTTTTTAATGTAAAATTGAGACACATCAGTGTTATTTAAATGAATCATGCAAGCATAAAAGTCTCTCTGAACTGAATGACAGCATGTCTCTGTGCCAAAATTTTTTATTTATTAACTGTCAGTTCATTAGCTGTGTTATTACATGTTTGCCACGCTGCTCTATGCTTTACCATGATTATGTCACAAAAAAAAGATTTTTTAATGGTAAAACGCTGTAAACTAGCTGACTACCTACAAAGAGCCAAATAAAGTCTTTAAGTCACATTTTCAGCAGTGAACATTCTCACCTCTGCTTGCTCTACGGTTTGGTTCACTTGTTCCTTTTTGCTCTTCTTGTTCTTTTTCCGTTTTTTATCATCTGTTGTGTTTGTTAGCTGAGACATGTGAGCAGGAGCCTCCTGCTTTAAAAACAAAGTGTTAATGATACTGTGACTGATTTCAGGTAGTGCTGTAAAATACCATTCTCTGTGCTACTCACATCTGCATCCATCTTTTTCCTCTTCGTATTTACTTCAGTGTCCATTATTTCTGTACTGTCATCAGATGGACCCAGATCCTTCCTCTTATGAGGTTTTGATTTCAACGATTTGTCCTTGGCCATGAGATAAATTACTCCTGCAAACCAACACAAGCGTGTATATTACTGAAGACCAGCACACACGTTTACTGAATAAAGTACACGGACAGACAAGGTTTAAGGTCAAAAGAAACACATTATCCACTTTATGACATAACAACAAGCAGCAGATATATGGGCTAAACACTACTTTGACCACGTTGTTTTTACTAAAAACCTTAAACCAACCTGAGCTGCGTTGCGTGCCAAACTCTGGAAAGCACACAGGCGCGTGGAAAGTCAACCAGGAAGCGGTGCCGCTCAAGTGAAGCCTGATTGGACGATTGGCTACCCGTGTTTTGTGATTGGTCGGTGGGTGTAACACGTTTAAAATCTCGAAGAACAAACTACTGAAAGAAAACTCAAAATATATTATTTAAAATCAATAAATAATAAATAAATACATAAACAAAAACAATAATAAAACAAACAAAAATAATTCACTAATAAAAAAGAAAGAATATTATAAATAAGACAACACGCTGTAGCTCAAAAGTACTTAAAATGCTCAAAAATAAAATAAAATGCAGACTGGTGGTACGGTGTAAAATTGAAGTAATTATACTTGCAAGCCTAAATGTGCCATTATCTTTAGGTATAGTCATACTACTACTAATAATAATAACAGAATAATAAATTATTCTATGGGTTAGAGACAGCCGGTCATAACCAGCGTCTCTCGCTGTTTCTGGTCGGAGAGAATTGAAGGTTGCACAATGGTGTGTTACATGACCTGACTGAAAAGGTTTTGCTGGGCAAAACTTCAGTTTCGTAGTGTTGAGTAAGATGACCGGTTGTCCATTATGTCTACAGCAGCAGTCTTTGCCCGTCTGACACGAGTGGCTTTGAGTCGAGGAACATTTATTCATAGCGGTGCAACGACCGTGAGGTGAGTGTCAGTATGTGTTTCCCCGGCTCATGGAAAGCATGTATTCAATGTGTAATGGTGGTTCAATGACAGTGTAGTATCTTTAATTGTTGGTCAGCTTTTCTTAATTTTTCCTGGAAGACACACCTTGGTCCTTTGACGTTAATCTAGTTACTAGGCTTTGGATAAGTAGCAGGAGTTTTCCTTTCATGAGGACGTATGACTAACTAAAGTACAGTCACCGTCCGTGCGTTGCAGTTGTGTCAGAGGTTAGATTTATCATTTTCAATAGAGCAGCTTCAGGAATTGTCTCTAGGTGGCATCATCACTGTGTTTTGAGCAACAATTTACAGATGGACACACTCCTCAGGTTTTTTAAAGGCTAATTCAAAGGTAAAATGTTTTATACATAAACTAATTTTTTGCATTGGAATAATTCAGAAATGTTATTTTCTACTGCTTTATTTATTGATTGATTATGTAAGGAGCTATCTTCCTCTGGAACTTATGATCATCTGTATGGTTGATCTTGAACATCAGTTTATATAAAACATCTATTGCATATTATGTGCGTCTATGGATATTTGACCTCTGGAAATGTATCATAAATCCAGTGTATAAATGAAGATGATCGGATTAATATTTTTAGTGCCCATTAAGGACTATAATCTCCAGCTGTGGATGTTTCAGCTTCTTAAAAACAAAACAGCAGTGTTTTCAGTTTCATAAATATATTTCACTTCTAATCTTAAGCAAAAGTCCACAAGTATTAATATCCAAGTAAATATTGTAGTATACTATCTAAGGTGTAATAGCGTTTAAGTGCACCAAGTGTACTTTCAATCCACTAAGTCTTTCAACCTAAAGTAATTTCTTATCTTCTCCGTTTTTCTTGCTGGAAGACTCCACAGTGTGCGGTCTCTAGCTCTGAGCTCTCAGCTGTCGTGCAAGTCCAAACAATCTGCTGATGATGAGGAGGTGAAGAGCGAGCCCATTAAGTTCTCAACCAGCAAAGCCAGCCACAGGACCTGGAGAGTTGACCGCTCAATGGGGAGCCAGTACGAGCGTCCTATGTGGAAAGTTGTGCCCATCAGCCTGCTTGCCACCGCCTTCCTGTTGTGGTGCGCTTTCAGGGATGAGACGGACATTGACGCAGCTCTGGAGAAGCAGCTGCATGAGCATGTACCCAGCGTGCTTTCAAATGAAGAGGATACAGTTAAAAAATAAAGGCGCTTATTGGAATATGCGGGCAGGTTTTATATCAGGTTGTATTTATTGTGAATTGTACTATGTGGACCTGGAACACAAAGTCAATGCTTTGTGTGGAAATAAGGCCGTCCATTGATACATGAATGTCACAAATATTCCAATAACTACAGGTTATTAGTTCAAACCTAGACTAAGAGGCCTCAGTTCAACTCATTCATCCTGGAGTCTAGGTTAACTCAGTTTTCATCAGGGTCTGGTTTACTCTACAGCTGTTGCAGCTGTTTACTTGTGAGTTTTTTACATGATGCTGTACGTCTTGAGTTTAAGAGCTTACATTAATTGGGAAATACAATACTTACAATGTCAATAAACTTGAACAAAAGGCATTTGCCAAGTCTTTTCTGAATCACTGCTTCAGAGTGCACATGATCACTTGATGAACATCCAATTTGTTAGATCAAAGTCATAGTGCAAAGAAGCCCTGGCATTGAGCCAATGGGTCCCGAATTTGTACTTGTACCCGAGGTTGTCTGCAGTAAACTCGAGTCAGGGTGAGGTAGCGGAAAGTTTATTTACAGCACAATGAGAAATCCTATGACATGCACACACAGGATTAAAAAGATACAGACCCTAAAATACATTTGCAGACCTGAGGAAGGAAGTGAGATATTCTGCTTTAGGATTTACAAATATCAAGCACTACTCTACAGCAAACAGGACAGCTGAAGGAAGAGTGTGTGAAATGGAAATACAAAAACATGCCTCAAACTACAAATCACTTAAGGTGGCACACATGCTGGTAAATAGTTCAAGATTTACAAAACAAACCCCAGTCAGTCCCCCACCCACCCCCAACCCAATAAAAAGATAAAAATCCAAAAGCATTTATGCTCTCTCCCCTCTAATTCGCCTGGCCAGCTGAATGTCCTTGGGCATGATGGTGACCCTCTTTGCGTGAATGGCGCACAGGTTGGTGTCCTCAAACAGGCCGACCAAGTAGGCCTCACTGGCTTCCTATAAGAAAGAGAGCAGAAAACATTAAATACTAGAACAAATTAGCAAGAACATGTTGTTCATATTTTAAAACAGACGCATTTTCTGACCTGGAGAGCACCAATGGCTGCACTCTGGAAACGAAGATCCGTCTTGAAGTCTTGAGCGATTTCCCTGACCAGACGCTGGAAAGGCAGCTTCCTGATGAGCAGCTCAGTGGACTTCTGGTACCGACGGATCTCACGCAGAGCAACAGTACCGGGCCTATGAAACAAGCCATATTCTGAATTAGTGCCCAGAAACAAAAACATTGTAGCAACTACACAGTTTTAGAAAACAAAAGTAAAGTTAGTTTCCACAGCCGGTGTAACCACTTATGCCTATAACAGCAATACAGAGGTATGATTGTTGTACCTGTATCTGTGGGGTTTCTTCACTCCACCAGTAGATGGCGCGCTTTTCCTGGCTGCTTTGGTGGCCAGCTGCTTCCTAGGAGCCTTTCCTCCTGTGGATTTACGAGCGGTCTGCTTTGTACGAGCCATTTCTCACCTGCAAGTCTGAAAAACAAATAAACGTGAATATTTAAACAAAGTGAATTAAAAAAACTTCACAAAAACTCGTTATTTACGTTAACGAATCGCCGAACGAGAGCCTATTCCCTTTATGCGGCTCTACCTATGACACATGACTCACGTAGTTTTAAAAAAAAAAAAAAAAAGTGGCGAAACAACCGTCCTACCTTTTACTTCTGTTTACAGTGAAAAGAAAACACTACCATAAAGGGTGCCAACTCCTCATTCATCGGTGGTGATACCATTATCAATGACGACAAGTTACAGTTACCACTTTTGTGGTTTTATTCAAATATCGTACACAAACCTCTAAGCACCGCCACCATTAAGCTACAGGAGACACACACGTTTCTTTGCTTGCCTGTCGAGCATTTTTAAAGCTAGCATGGACGGTTGCAAAATGGCGCCAGCTAGTTACCGCGAACATTTACAATAAAATTAACCAATTAATGTCACCAAAAACAACTTGGCACTCAGACGTATAAGTGAACATCAACATTAGTTTATAATTATGTAGTCATACCTTAAGAGCAGTCAAATCGGCTAAATTTAAGCCATCAGCTAGCTGTTAGCTACAAAGCGCGCCGTTTTGTTGTCAGTTTTTCGATTAACGATAGTCCCACCGCTTTTCAAAGCTTCTCATCAACATCAAAATTCAAATAGATAATATATGCAATTCACATACTGATGATTTTAAATAAAACCAATAAACAAACATAACAGCCATACCTCGGATTACTTTCGTTGTTCAGGGAAATTCAATGCTTCCTCCTTGTTAGTCACTTCTCTATGTTGCTCCGAGGGCTGAGGAGGTGGTATTTATAGATTAAGCGGAGCAGCGCTCAAAGCCCGCCCCTGAACGTATCCAATTGGTCCAAACGGAAATCCCTAACGGAATATGGTTAGTTCGGGAAAAAGGAGGCTCTCTGCCTCTGCGTGTGAAGTTAGAGCGGATCGTCAGATGTACCTTATTTTAAAAAGAAGCATGTCGTTAGGTTGATTTTAATTATTCACCCACAGCTTTTATCCCTTACTCCACACAGTTATACATATAATTTTGTCTGTGTAATCATAGAACCTGGGAATTCCTTTCTGGAAATATGGTGGTCACTGACCGCCCCCGTCTTTTAACTAATTAAGACAAGCGGGAACAATGCTGCCATACTTTTGTTATAGCCTGTACTATGTGAAAAGGCAAATGAAGTACACAGAAGACATGCTGAAAAAGCATATGTGCACCTCACAAATCGACATACACGCTCCATATATAAACCTCTTCATATATAAATGGGAAGCTTTAGTGTGATACATAATTCTGGAGCTGACAGAAACTCGTCCAACAGACCTAGGACACATTTCCTCCAACTCTTTGTGCCTGCTGTGAAAAAAAAAAAAACCGGAGAGAAGCGGGAGCGGACAAGTTATCCTCATCACCATCATAAACGAAAAAGGCTCGGTTATTTGTATTTGAATAATAATAATAATGCACTCGAATAAAGCCCTATCAGCACAGTGATATGATTGTACACTATTTATTTACTTATTTAATTATATATATATAAATAACCCTTTTTGTTATCTCAGGTAAAAGTTGTTTTAAAAGCGTACATAAATAGACAGTGGTCTTATTTTAAGGATTTTTCAATAAAAATGTTAAATAAAATAAAATAAAATAAAATAAATAGACAAATAAGCGCGAGAGCACAGAACATCCAGGCGCGGAACGACGCGGGCGTTGAGGAAGTGTAAGTACACGGACCTCTTCTCGAGTAACACCGGTGGTAAGTGTCTGGTTTGGGGACTGGACATGTTTTTAAAGAGACCGAATTACTAAAGAAATTAAAAAAAATGTTTACAAACGTATGCGGAGTTCACTGAATATGTTTGCATCGAGTTTAAAAAAAAGGGAAAATCGCGTTTCGACCTAAAAACTACAGCTCTGAAGACTCAGCATGGCCGACCAGAGGCTGTTGTACATCGGTATATTATAACGAAATAACACACATGCATGTGTTCGACCTGTTATTACTGGACTGAACGTGGGTTTTAAAGTGAACTTTTAAAAGCAACTGAAACGCACATGAGGGTTTTATGTCGGTGTTATCATTTCTCACAGTTAAAGTGTTGCTCTCAAAAGTGAGATAAACTAATGTTTGTGTGTCCTTTGTTTTCATTCAACAGATATCAAAGCTGAATCGAACAGCTCCACACCTGCTGCAGCCGAGAAGCCCCTCTGTTCTCGCAGCAATAACGTCTTCAGGTTTAACTTCTTCCCTGACAGTTCTCCAGCAGCTTCAGAGAAAGCACCTGCATCGGACAGGACTGAGCCAACAAGCCAGATTTCCTTCACTGAACAGGGCTCTGCTTTTGCCTTCAACTTTCAAATCCCTCCTGCAGAAGACATGGACACAACAGACACTCCAAATACTTCTCAAGGTGACCGACAGTGCGTCCCAGAGGAGAAGCCTCCCCTTTTGCAGGAGGTTGAGTCTCCACCTGAACAATCTGAGCAATCAAAAACAAAGAAGAAGAAAAAGAAGTCAGGGAAGAAAAACCCCTTGAGTATTGAGCCACTGCAGAAGCCAGCTGAGGAAAGTGAAGTTGCTGCAGAGGAGCTGGTCAGTGTGCAGTGCTTTAAAGTAATTACAGTGGGTTTGAGGTGAGCAGTTTGATTTTATGTCTGAATGTGTTTTAGAGTCAAGAAGAGCAGCTGAAAAGGGAGCTGGACTGGTGCATCGAGCAGCTGGAGCTGGGCCTGAAGTGCCAGAAGGGCACACCGAAGCAGAGTTAGTGAGATTTGTACCTCAGTAGTACTATGATGTGGTTGGAAAGGACATACAGTGAATCCAAGTGTGAACGTAGCCTAGATTAAACTAATATTCAGGATTTTTTAATGTTTAATCTATGATCTAAACAAGGTCATACAAAAAAGTAAACTTCTAAGCATGGTGTCACCTATTGAATATGTTCTCCCTTCAGAGGACGAGGCCTCGCGTGCCCTGAAGACTCTGCGCAGCTCCAAAGCTCCTCTGCCCAAGAAGAGGCAGGTGATGAGAGCTGTAACTGGAGATTACAGAAAGAAGATGGAAGAGGAGAAGACCAAGCAATTCAAACTCATTCAGAGCGGTGAGTGAATTTTGTACCAGCGGATTCATTAAAAGGGTTAAAAACTGCCACCGGCTAACGGGTTTCTCGGTGCCCCGACAGAAATCGCATCAGCCCAGGTCAAACTTGTGTCAGAGTCCCCAAAGAAGTCTGTTTTCCACCGGAGAGCTGAAGACAAAACTCAGACATCACTCGCTGAGGAGAAGCTGCAGCGCACTGAAGCTCACTGTGCAGAGCTGACGCCGCAGACTCAAGAGGCGACGCCGGTTTTTGTTCTTATCCCATCGAAGGAGGAGTTTCACTTCAATTTTCTCTGATTTGTCTGTCCTGATGCCAAATCCTTCACAGTGCAGCATGCTGGAGATAAAGTGCTACGTAGGCTGGCAGAACGGCACCGTCAGAGATCTGTGGACAACCTTCTGGTGAACGCTGAAGATATGAGGAGAGAAGACGTCAAAATCTCTGTGTTTACAGACAAAACTTTTAACTAATACATTTTTACAAAGCGTGATGCATTCACTGAATTAATGTGATTGCTCAAATCTCAAGAGAAACGTATTCAAGTCCATTCAAACTGACAGCATGGCGACTCGAACCATGTAACCATAAATACTGGATTCCTGTCGATTACACCTGAGGTGCCAAAATATCTTGTATATTTAGAAAAACAGACAAATATGTTTTTGTTGGACTTCTTAGATAATAATCATGTTAATTCAGAAAAAATGGTTCAAAGCATTTGAGGTTTTTTTGTATTATATTGCTATATTGCTAAATAAAATAAAATAAACTTTAGTATTTTTGCTTGTAGTGGCTTCATTAAATGCAATGATAAAATGAAATAAACATTTCTAAGTAAAATTGTACAGTTTACAGTTAATAATCCAAATCGATAAATTGATTTTTTTTCTTCACTAAGGCTAACATATATTCCACAAAGGCTTTATACATTCATGTGAAAAACAAAATGCACCTCATGATTCAGTAACTTGTAGAACCACTTTTAGGAGCAACAACTTGAGCACTAATTGTTTCCTGGGATTAATGTCCTCTCCTTGGGAAGATTATAGCATTATTGCTACAGCAAACTGACAACCTTCCTTTTCATGTGACTGTATGTACCGCTTTTTATTAAAATGGAAACTAGTTGAGTTAGCTCTGATTTAATCATATTTTGAAAGTTTAGTCACTAATCTCACTTTATGTTCAATCTTCACTTTATACAAATATTAAAATGTCATTGTTAATGACTGAGTTAAGGTTGATTCTTAAATTGTCCCTTTTTGTGACGTTTTTACAAAGCTACACTCACAAACACAGTTGAACTGTCTCTAAAATACAATACAATTAAAAATAATTTTTTTTTTTTTACGATGAATGAAAATGTACACACAAATAAAACAGACAATAACACTGGATGTGTTGTAAATGGTTCATAGACTTTTAAATTCAGCCTGTGTGTGTATAACAGAGAAGTTGACCTTGAGAGCAAACATGAATCAAGAGTTTGTGTAAAGAGCATACATTCATGTGTTTATTTCCCGTTTAAGGAAGCGTGATTCCTCATATTTTCCCTTTAAAGTGTCTCTCAGACAGGATAGGGTGGTGCAAGGCTCAGCACGGACACATTAGAGTGTGACACACAACTAGAAAAGTTTCGGCTGCTGAGAGAACAAACTACCTGCTGACTGTAAGTTTGAACTCGTTATGTTTTTCTGCACTCTGAAATACTCGTTTGCTTCTGTTTTCTTCTGTGCATTTAATTAGTTTATCTCACTGTGTTGGTTTTGTTCCAGAGACCAAAAGTTTAGACGCTCACCTCGCTAAGCTAAATTAGCCAGAGGAGTGAGCCCTGTGAAATTACCGTTAGCTTTAAAGTAGCCGCTATTCGCGAGTCCGTATAAGTCAGCATTGTTTATGTTTTCCATCACCTGAAGCTACAGCATTTAGGGCTTCTTGCAGGCTCGTAAGCCCCTGGTTTTAAAGTGTGAAACCAGGGCGTTGCAGTTTGTTTAGAGCAGTTTATGGTGTCTCTGTTTCCCAGGAGAAAAGAGTGAAGATGTCTGAGTTAAGCGATGACGCCAGTGAGTCAGAACAGCTGGGTGCCAGCCTCTCCCTGTGGCTGGGTGACTCCCTGCTGCGAGCTGAGGAGCTGGATGTCCCTCTGGACCTTCACACCGCCTGCTCCATCGGCCAGTACGACGTGGTGGCTGAGTGCATTAAAAAGTGAGGGCCTCTTAATACCAATATTTCCACACCGGCTAATATCTTCCACAGCTTATTCACATAACTGTGTGTGCTTTCAGGCGTGAAGTGGACCTGGATGGCAAGAACATTGGAGGATGGACCCCACTTATGTATGCGTCCTACATTGGTCATGACAACATTGCAAATCTGCTGCTGGAGGCCCGTGTGAATGTAAATTCCACCACCGCCAAAGGACTCACACCCCTCATGTTGGCTGCAAGCTGTGGGAACGAAAGTATCGCATACTTTCTGCTTCAGGTACAGAATCACCCTGGGAGGGGGAGGGGGGGGGGGGGTAGGGTAGGGTAAGGAGACAAAACAATGGCACAGAGATTTGTGATGATGAAACATCAGAATGACAAAAACAGTTTGAAAAGAGACAGAAAGCATATAAGTTAAAATAAGCTCCAAGAATTAGATGAGAAGCAGATGGACTGTAACTTAAGGGTAGATCCATCCAAAAAAGATGCAAAATAAACCCCAGCAGTTAT